ATCAGCGTCCCGGGATGTAAACACCAGCGCTCTAAAAAAGAAGTATAATTCCGCCTCTAGGTCCTTCAAAAGAGTCATTGCCAAGGCAAAGTCAGAGCACATAGGCAGAATTGGCGAGAAACTAGTTCGCCTTCCTTCTGGAACCCGTGCATTCTGGTCTCTCGCCAAGGCTGTCCAGGGGAATTTCTGTCAGCCATCTCTTCCATCTCTGCACAGGGAGGACGACTCACTGGCCCATACCGCAAAGGAGAAAGCCGATCTTCTAGGCTCTTTCTTTGCGTCTAACTCGACTCTCGATGACGGGGGGAGAACTCCGCCGACCATCCCGCGGTGTGAGTGCTCCATGCCGGAAGTGCACTTCACACAGCGCTCGGTTCGTAAAGCACTCCTCTCCCTGGACATCCACAAGTCGAGTGGGCCTGACGGAATCCCCCCAATTGTGCTGAGGACGTGTGCTCCAGAGTTGGCACCGGTTTTAACGCGTCTTTTCCGGTACTCCTACTCCCTAGGCGTAGTTCCAAAACCATGGAAGACGGCTTACGTCCACCCGATCCCTAAAAAAGGCGACCGCTCTGACCCGTCCTACTACCGACCAATCGCCATCACCTCCTTGTTCTCCAAAACAATGGAGTCCATTGTAAACTGCCAGCTCATGAGGTACCTTGAAGATCACCAGCTGATTAGTGACCGCCAATACGGTTTTCGCCGTGTTCGGTCAGCTGGTGATCTTCTGGTCTACCTAACTCACAGATGGGCGGAGGCAGTAGAGTTCAAGGGGGAAGGCATTGGCCGTTAGTTTGGACATTGCGAAGGCCTTCGATCGGGTTTGGCACAAAGCGCTTCTTTCGAAGCTCCCTTCCTATGGGCTTCCCGAGAAATTGTGCGATTGGATCACCAGCTTTCTTGCAGATCGGAGCATCAAGGTCGTTGTAGACGGTGCAAGCTCCGATTGCAAGCCTATTAATGCTGGTGTTCCACAGGGCTGTGTGCTATCGCCAACGCTGTTTCTTCTGCATGTCAATGACATGTTGCATACCCGTAACATTCATTGCTATGCAGATGACAGCACTGGTGATGCTCTTTACACCGGCCGAGCCAATATTTCTCGGGAAAACGTCTCCGAGTGCCGGGACAAACTTGTGTCTGAAGTCGAGTCTCTGCTGGACAAAGTCTCGGATTGGGGGCGACTAAATCTAGTCCAGTTTAACCCCCAGAAGACACAAGTTTGCGCGTTAACCGCTAAAAAGATCCCCTTTGTCGTTTCCCCTCAGTTTCAAGGCACTCCCCTTGTTGCCTCAGCCTGTATCGGAATCCTCGGCGTCGACATATCGAGTGACGTACAGTTTCGTGGTCACTTGGAAGGGAAGGCCAAATTGGCCTCTAAAAAAGCTTGGCGTGCTCAGCAGAGCGGGACAGTATTTCATGCCGGCACACCGCCTGCAACTTTACAAAGGCACAGGTTCGGCCGCACATGGAATACTGTTCCCATCTCTGGGCTGGGGCTCCCCAGTACCAGCTCCTTCCACTTACCGCATCCAGCGCAGAGCGGCTCGAATCGTCGACGACCGGAGTGCTTTCCGATCGGCTCGATTCACTGGCGCTGCGAAGAGATGTTGCATCTCTTTGCGTATTTTATCGCATCTATCACGGGGAGTGCTCTGAGGAATTGTTCGGATTAATCCCAGCCGCCAAAATTTCGTGAACGCACTACACGTCAAACGTCCCGATACCATCCACACCATCTGGATGCTTGGCGGTCTACCACTGTACGTTTCACAAGGAGTTTTTTTCCACGTACAACCTATCTGTGGAATATTTTACCACCGGCGATTTTTCCGGACCGATACGACCTGGGGACCTTCAAGAAAAGAGCTTACTCCTTTCTAAAGGGCCGGCAACGCACCCGCAATTCTCCTGGTGTTGCGGTTGATCATGGGCGGCGGTAGTCACTTAACATCAGGTGAGCCACATGCTCGTTTGCCCCTTCTTCTATAAAAAAAAACCAATAACTTTACTAAAAGTGGAATTTCATACTTATTATTGTATGCTTCTGCCACCTTGCTTCTTCTGTCTCTACTTGTCTGTCTTCGAAGTATTTTTGTTCCTCAGATATGCAAGTGTCCTCACGATGTTATCTTCACCGCACAAGATTAATCAGCATTTAAAATTGCAATTAACAATTTCATAGGTACTGTCGGGGATCGAGCCCGTGTTGCTCACGTATTATGAACGGCGAGCGGTTAGCATCTGAACTACTAACGCTCTTTAAGCTAACTAACGCTCTCTAATTTTACTAACGAATTATAGTACGTATTTACCTAAAATGTATTTCGTTAAATGAGACATAAACAAAAAATCTTTAGGGTTATTTTACTGGTTTAAAAACTGATGGCAATAAATCTATCCAAAAATGTAGAATGCAAATTTTAGGGATTGGTGAAGCAGCATCACTGTTGCAAAGGTATCGCTCCGGAATCAAAGCGCCTGATCGGCGATAAGGCACCAGAGGAAAATGAAACCAGACAATATGCAGCAGTATCTTCCTTATACTATAGCCACTGCAAGGGTGGCAACTATGGCAAACAACCCGTGTGGGATTTGAACAACGGAGCGCTACCGAGCCGTATGTATGTTAATAATGTAATGCTCTTTCAAAATGGTATCTAGTTAAAATGATCAACATTCACTTTGCCTTTGTTCAAATCTACTACGGACGAGTTAATTCAAGACAAGAACAGTTTAACAAACGAAATGAAGTGTCCAAGCACAGTGAAATATGACAATAATCGGACAGGAATATTAAAGGAATGATTTTATATAATAGCAAAACTGGACCAAACCTCTTCGCATATGAGGGCCTCCTCATCGTCCTCAACCAAACCAATTATATAATCACACAAATCATCCTGTACCGACAAAAAAGGAGTGTGACAAATAAATATAGAAAAAATATTTAAAAAAATATCCGCAAATCTGTATTGCATTTAGAATTTCATTATTGCATATGCTAAAAACTTATAAACAGTGGACTTCAGGCCTCACATAGAAAGGATTTTCTATGATCTCCACGCAAGGCAGGCGGAACTATCAAATTGCTTAGCCAACCAACGAGGCAATGTGGCTTTGTTATGTGTTTTTGTGTATGTGTGTGTATGTGTTTACAGCAGAACAAAAATAACTGACATGGTTCAATTAATCAGCGAGCTGAAGTGGCCAGTACACTGGCGATATAGTTCCAAGAACTGATAAATACAATAGGGGAGTTTTTGATATTAAATTTAATGAAAACATAATTACATACAAAAATTAATGGTCACTAATTTTTGGTGCAAAATCAAGATTGATCTAATCAACTAATCCATTCCACCGATGATCGATGGTGGAATGGATTAGTCGACCACGATCGATAGTTTCTACCACACCGATCGATCGATGGTGGAATGGATTAGTCGACTTCGACAGATAGTTTCTACCACACCGATCGATCGATGGTAGAATAGATTAGTTGACATCAATCAAGCTGATTGATTATTCGAGAACCCGCCCCGCTCTACGGACGGCTACTTGAAATGTTGTCCAGAAAAATTTAAGCTAGTTCCGGCCTTAAAAACGTTCGCATCCAGAGTTTTTTGCTTTTGCTCTGTAATAATAATATCAATAAGAGCGTACTAGACAACAATAACGCGTACTCTTCTGAATACATTATGAAAGATACTGATGACGAGCCCACAATCACATCGATTAATTGTCGATCGATGATTGAACAACATTTTATCGACCAGTATCGGTCGATCAGCTAAAGCTAATACACCAACCGATCGACATCGATCGATCGTCGATGGATGCCATTGATCGACGTCATTGGTCTGGTAACACCCTATAATGTGTGTACGTGAAGTGCAGTAGCAGCGTAATAAAATTCATAACCCATACGGACGACAAACACGGTCTGTTCAACTGATCAGTTCAAACTAGGATTGCTGACATTTTTTTTAAATGTGTCCGACATTTCGACAATTATTAATTCGACATATCAATTATTTTAAATCTATCAATATCGGAGTTTTATATAATAATATTAATAATGTCCTCCAGACCGAATTTCGGCCACGGCGGCCTGCCACAACGAAGGCTAGCCATCGGCGCAGGACAGGATTATAGTGCACAAGTGTATGCGCAAACACAGGTGCACTCTCTATTTCCTCACTCACATAATCCGATGGGACGGTAAACCGACACGACCGGAGAGAGATCGGGCGCAGGACCAACGGCATTAGGTGCTTTCCGAGGCACGGGGGTGAGACACCGCCAACTTCCTGACTACGGGCAGCTACTGAGAATTTCTTGACGGAAAACTCAATAATTAATTTTTTGACCCGACCCGGGATTCGAATCCCAGGACCACATTATCAGCAGTCGCACTACTACAATCTTTAGACCAAGTTATTTATCGTATATATCGTAGACCAGTTTATTTGTCGATATATCGAAAATCCGATATTTATTAAAAATATCAGCAGTCCTTGTTTGAACTGATCAGTTGGAATGATCAGTTGAACTGACTGTCCAGACAACATCTCAAAATGACAAAAAAGTGCGGTTTCGAACACACATGCCAAGCGTGGCAATTATTGCAAATATCTCGCCTATGAGGCACTCTATGGGGAAGGCGTATGTATAGCAGTTGACTTTTGATAAGCTGTAATGGATGAATGATATATTAATTAACATTTCCAAGAACCTGTGTCTATTACGTCACACGTTTTAATACAATCCACTTGCATGAATACCTGTACCTGTGTCTGCATAAAATTATTTTCGATAAATCGGGATCAAAAGCATCATTATAATCACTTCTTTTCTATCACACAGAAAATTAAAGAAATTGAAAGCATAAAAATATTAAAAGAAATAGGAGCAAAATAAAAATTAATCGAGTTCTTTTGGTTGAATCATCATGAAACTTTAACTCCAAAACATTTTTTTTTATTCACACTGACCTTGTGAAAGGGCTGATGTCTGTCGCGGTTGGGCGAGACGACGACTTCGTGGCCTGTCTGAATGGAGCCCACTGGTGTAGACTGGAATCATGGAAACATTCATTTAGTTAAAAATAATCCTATGCGTGTGTGACTGAAAAACAATTGAAAATGAATCATATCTTTGATGAGCTACTGATATATCAAATATGGATTTTCAGATCAACGAACAATTTCGTATATGATTGATTTATTAATCAAACGACAAAACGATTCAATAAAATCTGATACGAAAAAGTCTAGAACTATTTATTTATCATACCTACAACAAAAAATTACTTAAACTTAAAGTCTGTATCTCTAATTTTTTGTCTGTAATTAATTTGGAGAAATGATGGCAACATAATTATGGAAAGCGAAATGAGTTCTAAAATAATTTAATTGTATTTATATCTTATGAATGAATCTGTTACGTCTATAATCTTCAAATATGTGAAAAAAAAAAACAATAAATACCATCTCCACTAACCTTATCGGACTTAGTTCTAACAATATTGGACGGCGGTGCGTTGCGTAAAACTCTCATCACATGCATATTGGCAGGCTGACGTCGGTACAAAAGCGGTAAGCATGCGGCATGCAACACCCAACACTCATTAACGAAACAAATGTTATCAAAAAAGCATAAAATCTCACATTAGAGTTATAAAAAGGTCGTTTATTTTGAAGCAATTTAAAAGCAAGTCGTGAAATGGAAAAAAATTAGGAGACAAAATAATTTAAAAAAATTAAACCTTGAAGAATAATCAGCATTTTTAATTACAAATTTTATATAATGAACTACACAAAAACACCAAATTAATAAAAGTTAATGTTTATTGACAAAAAGTTATAATAAATATTTATTATCTACTTTTATAAACGTAAACTAAGAAATTAAGAATATATTCAAAATAAATCAAACATATGTATTATTTTTATTGCAATTATGGTGGATTAATGACAATTTTCAGCTAGGGAAAAGGAAATTTCATTATTATAGTTAGTATGTTCTATAATTAGTAATAACTGATTCAATAAATCTATATTTTTTCTTAATAAAGAACGAAAGAAGTTGATTGTGTTCATGTCAGCATTTTAAGCTTGAAAGGAATGATAGTGTTATAATAGCATTGCTAGTATTTATAAACAAAAAATTGTTATATGCATACAGTGCAATAATTGTTTATAGTTTTGGACTAGCTTCTAGATAATATTACAAAAAAATAGCAACTAATGAACGGAAGGTAAAGGTCAAAAATAAAAACTGTCCGATTCAATGAATTATGAGTTATTTCTATTAGCTGAGTTAACACACAAAAGAGCTATTGTGTAGCCTACATAATACTAAGTTTTTCGCTAATTTCATACTTTTTACGATTTCAAGGAGAATGTCATGACTAGAATATTTTTTTACAAAAATACAAAAAAAATTTATTTCAAATTTCTTTTCTGCTAATATAACACACTTTACTTACTGAGTACTTTGTATATTTTTGCAAGATGGCGTCAATAGCAGATGTCATATTACCTATCTAATAGTGCTTTGTGATACTTTAAAGAACAGAAAACATGAGTATGCTGACTAACATTCCAGTGGAATCAAATTGTATGCATGTCTTGAACTGAAACTTTAACATCACCTGTTACAAGACCGACAGTTTAAACCGGATTTGTGATCACTACACCACAATGTTGTTAAAACTATGGTTAAGTTTTATGTAGCCGTTCCTAATATTAATAATTTCTAATTTTAATTTATAATATTAATAACCAAATGATTAAGCCATTGTGCTACGATATACTGATTCGGCCTCTAGCTGTACTGACCTACAATAACCTCTACGCATCCAGAACGTAAGTTTACCTAATGCCAATAAGTTGACATTTTCACATTGGAAAATTTGATGAATTCTTTATTGGATTTAACATTTGAATTGCATTGTATTGTTGTGGTTTTACTCTGTTATTAAGTTTATTTAAGCATATTGTCATGCTATGACATCCATAAAAAAGCATATTATGAAAGGGAGACCATCAATTTAAGGTCATTATTATGTTAATTCATTTGCCGGTGACTCCCAACAGTCACATATATACAAAAGCATTGCCCATTTGAAGGCATCTGTCATGAAATTTGTTACATAAAATTTTTGTTCTAATGAATTACATTTAAATAAATTATATGCAAATGCAACATTCGAGAAAGATATATAAAATTTATAAAAAATATTACATCTTACTGATTTACAGAATGTGACAAGGCTGTCCAATATTGTTCCACGTAAAGAACCTTGTTAATATGTATTAGGTTCATGAATTTACAGTCAAATCTATTTCTCGGTTAAAACTACTTTTGACCAATGAGACCAGTAAAAAAGTGCTTTTGACTGTGTGGCCCACTTGAGTCACCCACCCTTAAGCCGCATTATATCAGCAGCTAAAGGGTGGGTTTTACTATAGATTTAGATGCGGAAATTAAGCTGATTCTGTCGGACTTACAAAAAATATTATTAGATTAGCCTAAGAAAAACTTCTTTGTCCTATGGCAATAAACATTTTGTAAAATATTAAACATTTATTTTAGTAAATACCCTTGGATACAAGTGGTTTTAACTATCAGTCTTAGACAAGACTAGTTTTAACCGATATTTTTTTAAGTCAAAACTACTTTTGACTACTCTCTTTTAGTCAAAAATATTTTTGATAGAAATTTGATTTCATCAGTTTGATTTTGACCGAAAGAGTTCTGAATGCAACATATTCACTATATATTTGGTTAGGAGAGACAATGGTCGGTATACAGTATCTGACCTATTTGGTAATTATTTTTTTGTTAGTATATGCTTTATGTATGAGCCGTTTTAACAAATATGTTACAAAATACAAGTATTGGTTGTGATAAAGCTAAATTTGTTTGAGACGCTGATCTTTTTATAGTGAAGCATAAAACTAAATCCTAAAGCACTTTTCTATCTCAGCTTGTAGTGGATGTCACACTTTCAATGAATTATTTAGTAATTTAAATTAACTGCGCTCAGATGTTGCTATGGATACTCAGTGCTCTGGCATTTAAAGATGTCTGGCAAGGATATACAATATCTTGTCACATTTGTAAATCCAAAATTGGTTTGGCAAATGTACAAAGCATACCAGTTGAAAACTTATGAGGAATGTATAAATCGGAAGCATATGTGTTCGTGACCGGTTTTATGGAACAAAATAGACATGAACAATTTTAAAAAAATTATGTTCCTTCGTCATGAGTGAGTGATCATGTTACCGATTTATAAAAAAAATCATGTGGCATAGAATTATTGGTTTTCTTTAATTTTCGGTTATTATTATCACTATAGTATAAAATCAATGATATGTATTTAGTCCGTACATTAATCATTTATACATTTATACATCATCATACCCATTTCTAAATTTCATTAAGTTTCAGTTTTTCACTGAAATAAATTATTTAATAACAAATTAATTTAGGGTTTTATAACACGGGTTTAATTAATAACTTGAAAAAATTTTGCTATATTCAATTCAAAAATAATTTACAAAATATTTACAAAATGAAGTAAAAGGAATTGTTTTATGTATATGTATGATGAAAATTTAAACAAATAAAAACATTTTTTTTTTTGAAAAATTGCCTAAAATTAATAAAAAACAAAGCAAGATTACGTATAGTACACTTACCAATGTTTTATTTAGAATCAAAATGTTACTTATAAAATGTATTTCAAAATTGGAGATGCACGCAGTCTTGAAACATAAAACCGGTAAAGTGGGTTATAGGGAAAAATGGTAGTATATAGGCGTTTGTTATATTTTTATTTATTCATTACATAAAGTCATTGTATTAAGTACTAGTAAAGTGCATTAGTAAAATCAACTGAGAGCAGTGCGTAACGCGAGTATTCCACAAACTAGTAAAAATTTTAATAGGACTAAGTAGCAAACATAATCCATAGATAAAATAAAATCAGAAACATTGATTGAGACATTACATAGACAATATATTATATATCTATGTAACGCAATATGTTTTATACCAACTATGTAGTGCAATATGTATATAATTACTGTCTAACGGAGAACTTCTTTTTTGTATTCGGTTAATAAGATTTTGACTAGACTTATTAGTTGAAAAATATCCGGATTCTTCACACTGGCAAATGTACATACGGATCGAAACTGAAAGGAGGAAAGCGAGTAGGGTCGAGCATTCACTAGGCGGAGTTGTTTACCATCGTTTTGCCGGTCCAGTCGAACTCGCCGTCGTCGACGTAGCCACGCCTCTCGAAAAGATCGCGGAACATACGTCTTAACTGGTCGTAATCGGGCGTTTCGAAAAAGTCCAGCCGGCGGACGTATCGTAAATACGTCGCCAGTTCCTCTGGATGACCTTCACAAAGTACCTGGAAAGTACGTGTCTGTTTAGAATTGGGTAGTTGACATCACACCATACATAACTACATTATGTATTTAATTAATTTATTTTTTTATGGGGGGGGGACCATGTTGCTGTAGAAAAGGGAATTGTAAGTAGGTAGGATAATCCGTAAATTTAGTTTTATTCAATGTGTAGTGTTCGCGTAAATTTAAGAAATCATTACATTATGTAGTTTAAATTTACTACTTTAATGCCCAAATAATCAAACGCTGCTCAATTTTAAGATGTCGTTAATTAGCGTCATGGTGTCACAGTCACTTCGAGTTAAAGTGATAGAGACAGCTTGAGAGCAGTTTGAGTATTTCGCCATTAGTGTCTTAAAACTTGGGCAACTTTCCATTATAAGTTAAGTTATTACTACTACAGGCCATCACAAAAATACAGCTGAACAAACACAGGCCCATGTTTTCCCATGAAAAGCACGGTCCATACCCACGCGCATCCATCCTGTGGGGATCGCCCAACACTGCGCTTGCCATTACGAGGCTGCCACTATAGAACCTCTTTTCCCCATCGTTTGTCGGTTCTTTAAACAAAATAGCGGGCCCATTGCTACTTCGACTTATTACTTTTGTTCTTCTGTGTATATCCTCGTCATGAACTAGTTCATCATCATCATCATCATTACAGCCCTTCACAGGTGCACTGCTGAACATACGCCTCCCCCAAAGAATGACACAAACCACGGTTCTGAGCCACCATTATCCAACGACTTCATGCACGTCTCACAAGGTCATCACTCCATCCAGTGGGGGTCGCCCAAAGCTTCGCCTAGTTGTTACGGCTACGAGGCTGCCACTCGAGAACGTTTTCCCTATCGGGTGTCGGTTCTTCGAGCTATATGGCCGGCCCATTGCCACCTCAGTTTATTAATATGTCTGGACTAGTCAAATAAGATTTTTTTTATTTAAAAATATGCAAATAAGTATATTTTTAAATAAAAAATATACTTATTATATATTATATATACTATAATTTGACTATAAAAACTATGACGTCATTACATTATAATCTCAACAACTCTAAACAATATTTCAATTGACGAAAATGTCAAGTACCCCGTTTTAATAAACGAAATATGGTGGTGGTGCTTGGATAAAAGCTTAGGTACGCACCTCGATTGGTGTTGCCCGTTTGGTATCGCCGATTTTTTGGTATCGTTCTTTAAGTGTGTCTGCTTTTAAACCCTGCCAGGGTAAGGAACCACGTAAAAAATACATAAACATGTGCCCGAGAGCTTCTAGATCGTCGCGTCTCGATTGCTCTGAAAAATTATTAAAATTGATTAAATATCACAGTAAAAAGGCATTTAATGAATTAAGCAGTAATTTTTTGCAGGGAATGTTATTACGTTAAACATATAGCAATAAAACGAATAATAATAAATAGGGGTAGTTAGCTAAAACGCTCTTTTGCACTAATCTATCCTTTATCTACACTGAGTCAAAAATTCTTAGTCCCAAAAACTCCTTCATTTAAATATCTTAGACCTAATTGGTCCATTATTGGATAAAAGTTATTCATAGGTTAAAATACACAATCCAATAAAAATACAGTTGTATGAATAAAATAGTTCAATTGTTGCACTTTTATAATCTGTCAGATTATAAATGATTTGATGTATAAATTTTATGTTATATATGTTATATTTCAGTTCGTCAACACGCATTTGGGCAACGCGGCGGACACTTCCTTAAGGCAAGACCTTAACCCTCTCAGAAATGAGGGGAGGCCTGAGCCCAGCAGTGGGACGTATATAGGCTATAACTTTACTTTACTAACTACAAATTTTATGTGTGATTAACCAGGCCTAAGTCGAATGAAGCGAATTGATTCGATTTTTCTTATCTGACCAATTTTTAATTAAAGTTGCAGATGTGATATGGAGCAAAGAGTGGACATTAACATTCAGTGCATTTTGGAAGAATCGTGAATGTTATTGGAATAAATATAACAAGGTACCTTTGCCTAAATGTGTGTTTATTGACATGTATCTGGCAGTCCCGGTGAGCGACTTGTGCTCCCGATATGGGATATGTTTGTTTGTCTCTAAGTCTATATATTCTTTGGCCAAACCGAAATCTGGAAATTAAAACACTTGAATTAGTTGAAATTTATATGAAAATTAACCGCTTTGTTCAGAGGCACCATTAATTACACTAAAATTACATTCTGAACTGGTCCAACGAATGGGGGTCGTGGTACAACAATATGAGTAGAAGTCAACGTGGCCACCTATCTACCGGTCCAACGGTTTGAAGTTTCTTTATAGGCTTGGCAAGGGGATTGACAATGGCAGTACATCAATACTTTATCCAGGAAATTCTCTGGAAAAAATAGGGTGTAACATGTGAACGGAGTAGAAGCTTATGGCACTGATATTTTACAAAAAAATTAAAACTAAAATTTTGAATTAATTAAATAAATAAATAAAAATCTATCGAAATTCAAATCATATCCACCCTACTTTACGAGCGGTAATGAAACAATAAATTTAGTAGGCATTTTGACCTTATCACTTCGCAGGATCACAGGCTAGGGTGGATATGATTTGAATTTCGATAGATTTTAATTAATTACTTTATTTAATTTAAAATTTTTGCTTTTATTATTTGTAAAATATCAGTACCATAAGGCTTCTACAGTTACACTCTATTTTTTAAAGACGGTAAAAAAGATCACCCAGTATATTCATACGACATCTCATTTTTATTTTGTTTTTTTTTTTAGTTTTATCAAAATAAAATGATAAACGAGCAGTTAAAACTGCAGTTTACCCGATGGTAAGCGGCCACTGTAACCATGGACACCTTGCAAACAACTTCAAACAAAAAGACGGCTGCTACAGATGCGTTGTCACCTCTGAGGGCTAAGATGGAATGCCTCACAGCCCATAATCATACTGCTCTTGCATCAGACTTGATATTTGAAATAAATCAGAGGGCGGTACCATACCATCAAGAACTCTTTCATCACTCACCATACAAAACATAGCAGCATTATGATGCTATTTTAAGCTGTATTCTGTGAGAACGTTGAACCGGGTCATCAGTCTTATAACCTTAATATGCTGCAATGTGACTTACTACGCAGAGAGCGGTATCGTATTAGATTAGCATTATACGATAAGCATTTCTAGCAAACTATTTCAGTTTGTGACGCGCTACACGATATAGATTCTCCACTTCATATAGTTTGAACCATATTTCCAAAAGTGAACAGGCACAAGTGTATGAATACGATAATTGATCTAAATCAAATAAGTGTCATATTACAATATAATAATATTATATTCGTCAATAAAAAAAATATTATGGCTTATAAAAATATTATCATCGATGCTGAAAAGATTACGAACTCGTTTGGTAACAATTTTTGTAAGGGTCACACAAAACTAAATAATTAATAAAAAGAATAATAAATGTATATAATGTCTAATAGGTAGTTATTTACGAGTTTAATGTTAATAATATCATGTAATATTTGCATATTTCATGATTTCGGCTAAGAAATCGACGTTAGGATACACGGAAAACGATGTAAAATAATAATTTAATTATGATATTACATCGATGGACGATGTAGGACTTCTCGAGGACGTGGCACGTAATTAAGAACAATAGGTATGTCAATAGCAAATGCATAATTGACTATATACGTAGGTACCACGAACGAATATTAAAACAACGGGCGGAAAAGTAACAGTTGCTTATGTATGAAAACGCATCGAACAGATTATGCTGACTAGTGTACAAAAAGTTTTAAGAACGAAGCTTAATGTTAACTGTTAACTATTGCATTCTCTTAACTGTTATAATTTTGTTCAAAGAGGTAAGCGTAGAAAATATTAAAATATAAAATTATTTATTATAGTAGACCCAGAAACGCAACCGTCACGCGTAAAACGTGACGCGTTTACAATAAATGTTTCTTTCTTTCTTGATGCTGCCATGCCATCAAGGGATGTTGCGGATATTCGATTCCGCTTCCGCAAATGCGGAACATCTTAATCTTAATTTTTCTTTTATTAAGCAGGCTCGTATCGCGAGTGTAATTTATTTATTTAGTAGTAAAGGTTAATACTGACCATGCTCAATTTAGGTTAACTACATTATATACATCTGTTGAAAGTTCATATAAACACTTTTAATCTATAATTTATAGTTCTTAAACTGTTGAGCGGAGTTATGAAAAATATCAATGCTATGATTTTCTGCTGATAAAGATTTATTGTATTTAGTTCAATTGTCAGATAAAAGTTATTCATCAAATCACCTGATTGAACATGAAAGTATTATAATTTGTTTATGTTACGGGAGTGGCGGCAGAAGGAAAAAAATAAGAAGGGCAACAGTGTCTTAATAATAACGACTAAAAATAGAAATAAACTGTGGTTGCCATTCCATCCATACATCACTCCCTCCCCCCCCCTCCTCCATGAGACAATCTATGGGTGAGGCATATGTTCAGCAGTGGACTTTAATAGGCTATAACGGGTAACAGTAACGGTTGTATTTTATACTATGAATACCTAGGTAACTGTTATTTGAATCTTAAAAAATCGGCGCTTAGTGAATTTATGACAATGCAGTTTAGTAGTGAGTTCTTATCTACATTAGTGCGGTTAAGATTATACGGTGTTTGATTTAAACATTTCATTTCATCAAACTAATGCTATTTTTGCCAAGAACAAACCATATATCGATTTGTGCGAGTAATTCATGTAGTTGTAGATTATCATTACGAGTTTTATGTAACAGATTTAAATCTGCTGCTGTTCTACGATGTTCTGAGGACTTCATTTTAAAACAATTTAATCTCAAAATTAGATTAAAGAAATAGGAATAGGACTCGTCTTTGTATACAAGATGTCGGGTAAAAAGTTTTTGTACCATTTTTTATTCATTTGTATTGTGTTATCGAACCGTTACATTGGGTTCCAGACGAGTGAAGCGTATTCGAGCATTCTTCTTACGTATGCAATAAAAAGTATTTTTAAAGGTTGTAAGTATGTTACGTTCGCACGTATAACATGAGAAAGTTGACGGAAAATCCTTACAAGATTTCAGTCAATTCGAGAATCCTATTTGCTTTATACTACCTCCATTTACAAACGTTAGTTTAAGAGTCTATTAGAATATAACGAATTACAATATAACACGCTATACACCTGTCAACAGTAGACCTAAACGTAATAGATACTAATAAAAATGAAAGACTTCCAGGCAAAAAATCCCACTATCGTATCTCTGGGTCAAACTTTAGTCGATAATTGTGAAAAAAATAAATCAACATCTATCATACTGAATCCTAGTCTTAATATATATAAATAACTTGTCACGTTGTTAGTCCGCGATGGACTCCTAAACTACTTAACCGATTTTAATCAAATTTGCACACCGAGTGCAGTTTGGACCGACTTAAGATATAAGATAGTTTTTTTGCCCATGAGTGACCCACAAGTTAATTTTTTGCGAATTTAAGGATTTTTAATAGGACATGTCAAAGGGTCGTCGAAAATGGTAGAACAACGTCTGCCTGACAAGCGAGTTGAACATAAGTTTTATCGTGGTAGACCCACACCGCACATAATATGGTTGCAGCACAAATGGGCCGACTCGACCAGGGAAGGACCGTGGTCTCACGGAATACTAGTATAAAATAGCAGCTTAATGCTGCAGTGTAAACACTTCACCATGCAATATAGTGAGTGTTGAAAACCGGAGACCCTTTTTCCTGATAAAGATCCCTTCTATCTTAATGTTCAAGGGTGACAACGCATTTATATTTTGATTTTTAATGGAGGACTGTCTATGGGCCACAGAAATCATATACTATCAGGTGGACTGTGTACCCGTTTGTCAACCTTATCAACCTATAAAAATAGAGGGCTCTAGTATGTGCACTTGTACTTGCGCGTACGTTTGCGTAAATGTAATATTTTTGTATGAGAAATTTTGTCGAATATCTACACAAATTAATAAAATTTAAGTTTTTTTTTGTAATGTCAAAATAACAGCTTTTTACTAAATTCATACGAAGGTATATATACGATACTTATAACAAAAAAACTATTTTATAAAGTTTTGTTTGTGTTCCGGCTAATCTCCGAAATCGATGAACTGATTTTGTAATAAAGTAGTATTTATTTTCTCCCACATATTATCAGTACATTACAATAAACTAAGTAATAGTAAGCTTATACAGCTAAATAACAGCTATAAATACGAACTAAATAAGATCTAGGTGTGAGATTTTGACGGTACTTACACTGGCAGATAGCTGATGCTATAAGCAGTAAGTAATGCAGGTACTTTTATTACTTTTTTTTAAAATGAAATGGGCGGAAGTCGCGGGGAACAGCTAATCTATGCATACAAAAACAAAGTTAGCACGCATTTCGCAAATGATATAAAAATAGTAACAGTTGCGTAATATGGAATCGTAAATTAAGTTACAATATAGAGGACTATACAAAACTTTGCTTTTATAATAACTTCAAACGCGATGACAAATGTAATGCCACGAAATTTCGTAAGAACTGAGAAGACTGTATAAACACAAAAGAGAATGGCTTTTATCTCCGTAGCATAAAATTTTAGTTTAGACGTACACTGTTGTAAGTAGAGTATATCAATTGAAGGTAAAAAAATCGCGCAGCATATGCTATTCAGTTACCTAAGCTGCACTAAAATTATCGGGAATGGAATATTTCCACTGTTCCTGTCATATTAAAATCTTTTTTAATTGAAAACTCCTTGGTTTTAAAAATCGAATACCATTTATTTATTTAAAAAAAGATTCTCGGTCTTGCCACAAGGTTTTGTCAAACTTGTTTAGTCGTTGAGAAAATAGAATTGACTCGAGAAAATTCAAGAGCGATGATTTATTATGACTTTCGAAGTGGTTTAACACAAAAACAGTGTGTTGACCGGATGATTTCTGCATTTGGTGATGAAGCCCCATCCAAAAACCACAATTTATCGCTGGTTTGCTGAATTTCAACGTGGACGTGTCAAGCTCAGTGACGATCCCCGTCAAGGTCGTCCAAAAACTGCAGTCACCCAAAAAAACGTTGATGC